CACCTCCATAGATTTTGCCCACGGCACATAATTCTCACCATTCAACTTAATAGATGTTATTTGAACATTTAGGTAATATGGAGAAATCATAACGCCTGTTTTATTGTCATTCCCATCTCCAATTGATGCCATCTTAACTAATTCACCTTACTTCACAAAGAAATCACTGCTATATGTAGAGTATTCACCTTCAAATATTCAGCACAACCTCACACACTTCCACAAAACTTATCACTTTCAGCACCACTAACTTCTTCAAATACACATTACACATCAAATACAAAAGCTGAAATCACTGTCATTAAATCAAACACCTGTACTACACACCGCAGAACCACTCACACACCAAATACAAGGGCCGAAATCACTCAGCCATTAAACCAAACACTTACACTGCACTCTGCAGAACCAACTTGTACTCAGCTGAACACTGTTCACCCGAACCTGCTCTCTTCATACCATCGAATAGAGAGCTTCTTACCAATCACCACGGACAGCCACTGCACCACAAACCAGAGGCATGAAGGCCTCCTACAGAGAAACACGACCACTCCTTTTCAACCCTTCCATTTATCTCCTAGTGGTTCTTGAGAAATCTGCAAAACCCTAGAGAGGAGGGCGATAAAAAAAAACTGGGTAAACCAGAATAAAAGAGCAAGACGAGCAGATCTGAACTCGTTACATGCGCTCTGATACCATGTGAAAACCTTATTTAGTCCTCGGTTACAGTAGAGAAGAAGGAGAAGAAGAAGAAGGGTTCGACCAGTAGCGGATAAATCAGTCCTCTCTCTAGTCGACCCGCTTGTATTTATCTCCAATAACATAGTTACAAGAAAGACCATATTGTCCCTCATAAGTGATGGGACACATAACTTAAACTTAAATAAAACAGACCTTTCACTCTCAAATAGATAAACCCAAATGACCAAAATACCCCTGTTTTGTGTACTCTAACATAAACAAAGTAGTAAAAAGGACTCTTAAAGATCCCAAAGACAAATGACTCACTAATTATGCTAGAGCATAATCTGGCTCACTAATCGAAACACAGAAGGCTTCCCAACTTCTTTACCACTCCTAGTGCATGATCAAGTAGGTATATTCCATTCGCTTCACGACTAGTCCTAATTACCTTCTTTGTCATCAGATCCTGAAAAACACAATGATAAGGAAAGAAAGTTATTGAACAATTTTGTGTTTTAGTAAGACTACTAACAGAAAGAAGATTAATACTAAGTTTGGGAACATGGAGTACTAAAGAAAGAGTGATGGCATTAGACATCCTGATGCTTCTCTTTCTAGAGATAGGGACAAAAGAGTCACCAGTAATGGAGAACTTATCTCTACTAGAAGAATGATAAGAGGTAAACAAAGAGGACAAACTAGTTATATGGTCAAAGGCACTTAAATCTACAAACCAAAAATAATTAGTGTTACCTAAAGCTAAAGCATGATAAGCAGTGGCCCTTGTCATGAGTGAGCAGAGGATGAAGTAGAAGTTGGAGCCACAGTGTTAGATTGAGATGATCCAGTAATTCTAGATCATTCTCCAACTGAGTCAAAGTAGCTCTAATAGAAGCTACAACCTCCAAAGAAGCAGATTAGTCCTAAAAGTAGTAGTGCCATCTGAAGTGATAGCAACATTAGCATTTCCCCTCTTATTTTTAAATCTTGTAGATACAAGGTTAGGGTGGAACTTCCTACATGTATCTCATGTGTTTTGATTTCTTACAATAATAAAAAAACACCCCCTTTTCTTCCTTTCTCACTTCTTTCTCCTTGCCACCATGCTTCTGTTTCACAACTGACAAAGCAGATGCAATTTGTGAAGTTTGTAAAATAACCTTTCTCTAGCTTTCTTCACTATGAATCAAAGAATAGGCTTGTGATAGGGTAACACCACCATCCTTAGTAAGAATCTGCTGTCTGATGATGTCATAGTAAAGTTTAGTCCTTTCAGAAACTTGAAGATTCTATTCCGTTCAATTAATTTTCAATGAGTGGTTACATCCTTCTAGCTTCCTACTCAACTGTCTCCAAATGGTCAACCTCATGCTATCCTTCTAGCTTTCCAAATGGTCTCTTTACTCCTTAGCTCATAAACGCTAGCAACATCAAGAGGCTAGAAATACATCTCCTTCACATTATCCCATATTTCCTTAGCTGTTTTCATCCAAGATAATTTCGGCTTTTGTGAGGCAACATAGAGTTGCATAACAAAGTCAGTAGAAGGTAATTTTCTTGAACCCATTTGCGATGAGAGGGATCAGTAGTGGATGGTTTCTTAGTATCACCAGTCAGGTATCCTATCTTTCCTCTTCCCCCAACAGCCATCATGGCCAACTAAGCCCATTCCATTCAAATAATTCATCCTATTGAGCTTAACTGTGGTAATTTGAAAAGTATTGTCTTCTGAAATACTTACAGCCCCCAAGATTCCTTCCCATTAGTCTTAGACTCATTTCCAGCAATTTCCATACTGATTATAAGTTTATAACACTCAGACTAAGGATAGTAACATTCTCTCCTTATTCTCAGGACCAGTGGGCTTTGGAGATTCAACAAGGGCTGAACTACTAGCTGCGGTACAAGGAGTACAGATTGCCAACCAACTTGGAGTGACTAACATGATAGTTGAGGGAGACTCGAAGGTGATAGTGGGATGGTTTTCGGACCCGGATACTGTTGTTTGGGGCTATACTATGGCCCCAAGATCCATGTTGATTTGTTTTCAGTGGGTTAGCAGATCAGCCAATACTATGGCAGACTCTCTAGCTAAATGAGGGGCTTCAAGGGATTCTTTGTTTTTGGCTACTTTGTAACTGTAATCTGGAAAAAGAGTTGGGATTGATCCATCCTTGAGGGGAGGTAACACCTCGTGCCTCGTCTTAGGGTGTTTGTACCATTCTGTTTCTATTTAATAAAATTACAACCATTCATAAAAAAAAAATTATGACACTCAGACTTCACAAACTGATCAAAGAAGAGAGAACACACTGCAGAATAGGTGTTCCAGGAGCAACATGAGATACAAAAAGGGTCTTACACCTGCTCTGATACCAACTTGTTGAACTAGGTGTAAGCTGATTCTATTTGTGAAATAAAAAGATGATGAAAGAAGAAGAAAAAGTAGAGAGAAAGGGAACAGAAAAAGAATCTGTCATGCCGCCCCATTAATTTGCTATTTATAAAGAGCAAACAATGAAGCAAGTACAACGACAAAAATACCCTGCTGGCCAAAAACGGAGAAAAAACATTACGGCGGAAAGAGAAAAAAAGGACTAAAAAGCTATGAATGGCCCACTGCATCTTTTATTTTCTTCTATCGAGTTTTGTGGACCTGGGCTTCATACTTCATGGTATGAGAGCATCTGATCCAGACCTAGAATCTGATCGAGACTCCTTTTTCCTTGCTGTTTTCTTTTCTCTTGTGTGCCTTTTATTCCATTTCTGAATCTTGAAGAAACCCTAGACCTAATCCTGGTTTGCTGAAGCTATTTCTAGGGTTTTTTCCTTAGGTAAAGGTCCAAAGAGACCCATTTCAGATTATGTTATGCTCTATTAGGGCAGGATTAATCTGTAGTAGTCTTAAGACTACTAGGGAGATCTAAGTTATCAGGTCTAGCTGCAAAGAGAAAGCAGTGTAGGTGATCTTTTAGGAACTCCCACTTGTATTGTCATTGTTTGTGTGGAGCTCCAAGGCTTTTCAAGCTGAAGGAGCTGCTGTGTGGATTTTATTTTTGTTCGGATGTTAGATTGTGAAGGATAAAGATGCTTTCTAGCACAAGTGAAGTGAAATCTAGAGATTCCAGATCAGGTGAGTGCCTTCAACATATAAATCCAGCCTACAAATTACCAATGTGAAGTTGGATGAATACAATGGGCCATTTTAACCAAGCTCTTTATCACTGGCTGTGGGTTGTTAGGGTATATCAATGGGAAAATTAAAGAACCCAAGGAGGAGGAACCATAATAGAAAATTTGGTGTAGAGAAAATACAGCAGTCATTTCTTGGATGCTTTCATCCATCGTACCCAAGATAGTCAATTCAACACTATCCTATAACTCACAAGATATGGGAAAAACTGTCTAATACCTATGGAAAGAGGAAGAAGAATGCATGGGACTGTAGGTTAACTCAAGATCTTGCAGCCTTGAGTCAAGGGGCATGTATGTTGCAACTTTGCTTCCTTAAAGGGTCATTGGTTGGGATTGTTCTAGACACAAAGTCAAGCATGGTAAATAAATTTAAGGAAGGGTTTTCAAGTTTCTTGTTGGTCTTGATCCCTCTTATGAAGGCATTCGATTAATTTTGGGGAGGGATGAACTACGCCACTTGTAACACGAGTTCCACTAGATTAAAAATGAATAGATAAGGAGAAAAGAGATAGGGACTGATGCCCATATTTAACATGCTGATCAATCTGCCCTTGTAATTTCTACTTCAAAAGGTGTGGATGAGAAAAGTTTGAAGTGATTTCACTGTGGGGGATAGAAGCATACAAAGGAAACATGTTCGCTTTTTCATCCCCATCTAAAACCAACCGCCCTAAAGAAAGAGGAGTGTTATGAGGGTCAAGGTGCTTCTTGACATGTAGGAAGTTCGAATGTAGTGGATGGAATGCAAAAGAATATCCTTACATATGTTAGTCGTCATTTGGGACAAACTACTACTCCCACAAGCTTTAGCTCTTTGTGCCATTCAGTCTCCATCCTCTAGCTCTTGGGTCATTAACTTTAGAGCTTTTAAACATATGACAAGCATGTCTTCTTTATTCTCATGTTATCATCTTTCTTATGGTCAAGACAAGGAGACTTGTCAATTTTGTGGAGCAAGACATCAACCTTGACTTTTCTAAAGATATCTAATTATAATTAATTCTAATGTTGTCTCCCTTTCTTCTTCTCTTGTATTACATTTGATATATTTTTTTCTCCATCTAAGATGCATACTATTGAGTGATCTAATTTTGTTTATCTATTTTTTAATTCTCTACCAGGTGTGGTTCATGGGCGAGTATTCCCATATATCTATGGACTTTGACAATGTAAGATTTCTTTGCATATGTATCCCTTTGGGTTTATACTTCACAAAACAGGATCCACTAGTGGGTTGTCATATTTACATTGTGTAGAGAACACTGATGTGGACCCCACTGATGTGGTCCCCATAGTGTTCGTATGGCAGCAATATTTCTGTTAGATATGACAGTGTTAGTTGGTAGTTATTTCAGCTTATTATTAGTTATTTCTTATTCTATTTGCCATGTAAGCAATAAGGGCAATTCAGCCCTTTTACAGTTAGCCAATAGTTATATAAATACTAAGAGAGGGTCGGCAGAAATTATGACCTTCTCTCTCTCTTTTCTGAAACTCTCTTCGTGTACTTCTTCTCTTCCTCTCTTCTCTTCTTCTTCTCTTCAATTTTTCATCCTTTTTTTCTTTCTTAAGTCAAGACTGATTGTAGTCTAGATCAACTACTTGGTATCAGAGCCGACCTAGGAACTCTTATGCTATTTTGATTAGGCCGACTGCATGAGAACCTCCTAGGTTTGGAAGTTTTTCAACAAGAAAGGAGGATCAGCTGATTCTTGGAGGTTACTGGTAGTGTGCGGCTGCTACTAAAGAGATTGTAGAAGTCTGGGAGAGTTCCAGTAGTCAGGAAGAATCAGAAGAAGCTTCGGATCCTCAAGATTAGGGTTTTGCATCAACCAGAAGGTGGCGGCTAGAGATTTTTTCATAAAGTAAGCTTTTTCTTGTGATTCTGTTTAGAAAAGATCATCTTGGTTTAGTCTGAGGGGTGCGGCTTCAGAATTTTTGTGTTTTCTTTAGGGTTTTGAGAGAAAACCCTAAAATCCAGAACTGTTATTTGTTTCAGATCAGAATTTGAAGTGGTTTCATTCAGAATTCTGTTTTCTATGTTCTTTGGAAGACCTGAGCCAGCTGTTATCAGTTGTTTGGGTGCTGTTTCTCCTATTACAGTAATTAAAAAGGGGTTTTTTATTAATTCTTGATCAAGAATGGAGTTCAAGAGTCAAGGGGAAGGTGTTTTTGGGACTAGCAGTTCTGGTAACATGTCTGAGAATACATTTCAGATTACAACAGTTAAGTTTGATGGATCAAACTACCTAGAATGGGCTCAATCGGCCATGATGGCCATTGGGGGTAGGGGAAAACTGAGCTACTTGTTGGGAGATGTGAAAGAACCTACTAAAGAGGACCAAACCTATACCAAATGGGTTCAGGAGAAGTATTTGGTTATGACATGGCTGTGCAACTCTATGCAGCCACATATCAGCCGGAACTATTTGTGGGCGAAAACAGCTAAGGAAATCTGGGATGCCATGAAAGAAACCTACTCCCAACCCCTTAATGTTGCTAGGGCTTATGAACTGAAATGTGAGGTTAACAACCTTAAG